CTGCAGATATGGCTCGGTGCAGCAGCCCCCCCGTCTGCCGGAAAGGGGGCAGGGGAGGAGGGATCAGAAGTGGAATTGGGGTTTCCTTCACCACCAGGGGCTCCTCCGAGCCAGGTCCGTGCTCTCGGGGCTGGAAGTCCTCCCTCCCCAGCCCCCACCCCGACATTAAAGCGCTCCAGCCTCGCTCCACCGCTGGAGCAGCTCTGGAAAGGGGACTGTCAGGGGGAGTGAGAGTTTAAGTGGCTGCGTAACTGGGTTAACGGGTGTGAAATGCAAATCGCTGTGGATGGATGGGGGTGGGGAAAGCATCTTGCACACCCACCCAAGCGCACCTCAGGGGCCAGCCAGCACCTCTGGACGTGGGCTGGGGAAGGTCCGGCCATGCCACCCCACTCGTGCCCGGGAGGGTTCGCCGCCCGTCTCTGTGCCTCGCAGCCTGGGTCTGTGTCTCCCGGTCTCTTCTACCTCCATCCTCTCTCTCTCTGTCTCTCACTTCTCTCCACGTCTCTGCATCTCTGGCGCCTGCCACCTCTCCTGACTGTCTGGGAATCCTGTCTGAATCTGTCTCCCGTCTGACTATCTTTCTCTCGGGGTCTCCTCGCCTCTGACTCGGGGTCTCCTGTCTCTCGGTCTCTACCTCGGGCTCTCTCCATCTGTCTCTCCTTCTCTCCATCTCTCTCTTTCACTTCTAGCCCTTCCGCTCCTATCTTTTCCTCTTTCACCCCCTCCCCACTGAACCTGCCAGTCAGGGATTTCGGCAACACCCACCCTAGGAGCCAGTGCAGGAAAAAAAAAGAGCGACACAGATCCCCTCCCATGACCCCCCCCAGGAACCCTGAAATCCGCCAGAGCCGCTGGCCACAGACCCCCCAGCTCCCACCCTGAAAGCCCATTTCTCTCTCGTCCACTACTACCGCTGTGCTGGACCAGCCACCCAGTTGCCATAGCTACCGGCCCGAGCATCCTTTCTCCCTAGACTGCCTCTCTCCAACCGCGGGTCCCGCACAGGAACCACCCCAGCCGGAGAGGGTTCCAGGGAGCCCCCAGAGGCGCCAAGGGGTGCACTGCTCGGGTCTCCTTGCAAGGGGAGAAGGTCAACCCCGTCCCCACTCCCCACCCTTTCCGCGGCTGGAACCTCCCGAGTCTCCCTCCTGAGCTCTAAGATCCCGGCGCCCCCCTGCGCCCCCCTGCGCCCGCTCCCCAGGCGACGCTCACCCTTTGAGGGAGGCTGGGTCGGGGTCGCCATGCTGGGCCGGAGCAGGGGGCGGCTGGATGCTGAGACGGCGAAGGCGCGGCTGCAGCAGCTGGAAGCGGGATGGACCGTTGTCGAGGGGGAGATGGGGGAGAGCCCTGGCGTTGGGGGCGCCGTAGCCAATGGGGGCCCGGAGAGCCCGCCCCCGTCCAGGCCACCCCCGCCCCCGCCCCCGCCCACTGCCGACGTCCCGCCCCTTCCCCAAGGGTGGGGGCGCCTCCTACTGGGGCCACGGGGGCTCCCGGGCTGTCGCACAGAGGGACTGACAGACCCACAAAGCACTGTCAAGAGAGGAAAGCACGTTTTATTGGCAGTCGGGGTGGCAGAGTGGAGTCTGGGGGCAGGACTGGGGTAGCAGCCAGCAGTCCCGGCGGTGGTGGGCGCGCGGCTGGTGGATGGGGGGCGTCAGATGCCAGGAGAATCCTGCGGGCAGGCGCGAGAGGGTGAGAGGCCGGAGAGCCCCCAGCCCTCCCTCCAGCACCTCGCCCCCTCCTCCCCGCCCCCCACCCGCCGAGTCGGAGCTGCAGGACCTGGCTGGGTTCCATCCTGCCAGGTGTGTCTACCGCCTTCGGGAGGACAGACCTGAGGGGAACACAGAGTGTGGGTGTCAGCAGGGCGCCCAGGTCCTGTGGAGGGGTGGGGATCGCTACAGAATTCCCCCGCCCTGCCCTGCGGTTTCAGGTCCCACCTCCAGGCTCCCAGAGAGGTCGGAAAGGGGTTCTTGGAACGGCCCTCAACCCCCACACACACCAAAGTCTCCCCCAAACTCACGGCGGATAGAGCTGCGGAAAGTTCCCTCCTCTTCATCAGGTTCCCCAGTCCTGCGGGGGAGAGGAGGACTGGATTGAGGATGGAGAAGGGCTGGGGCTGCCGATCTCGGGGAACACCCATGTCGCCCTTTTTCACCCCAAGGAAGACTCAGGGTTCACCACGCTATCAGGCGCTCCCAGGAGCAGTTTAAGGGTGTGACTGGAGAAGCTCCAGCCGGTAGCAGCCAGTACCTCTCTGAGGCTGGGGAGGGGCCTGGACCTCGTGGGGGAGGGGTGCCCCCAAAGTCCGAGGGCAGACTGCCTCGAACTGGCCTGGCTTAGAAGCCCTGAACCCTCATCTTCTACTGAGTGATCCTGGGCGCCTAACTTTCCCTCCCGGTGCTGAGCCTGGGAGAGGAGCTGGAGAACAGGCCTTCCTCACAGC